GGGGGGGGGGCATACCAACACAAGTCTATCTACTATGGATCATCATAACAAAACCAAAAATGAAAAACGCCACAGTAGCGCCAAATACTTGAGTCCCCTTTAACAAGTAAATTAGAGTGATCTTATAAGACAATGAATTACAAAACCAAAAATGAAAAACGCAACAGTAGCGCCAAATACTTGAGTCCCCTTTAACAAGTAAATTAGAGTGATCTTATAAGACAGTGAATTACAAAAAACAATAAATAAAACCTTAGTAAGTAACAGCAAGTTAAAATGAGCAACAGAACAGAATTGAATGAAGAGATCAAGATTACATACAGTGATTGTAACATGAGAGCCTTCAGCCACTGGAATATCTGTCCTCCCAGCTACGTCCAGCTGAATCATTAAGACCCCCAAATCAATAACTATGATTATAGCTACAGTTCAAAATATAGCATACACCACTAAACGATAGGCAAACCATGGAGCAAATCTTAGTCAAATGTCTTTAAGCTTTTATAATTTATATATACTTACAACAAAAAGAATAAAAGGCAGAGAAGTTGTAACAATTATCCAACAAATGACTTCAAAATGCAAAATCATACTAAGCATGAGTGTAGATAAAATGGGAACTTTACCAGATGTAAAGCATTTCTGGTAGCTAGAGATGTGTAGACATTTCCATATATAGTAGTAAGCCCGATCACCTTGATTTCAGGAGATTGCAATGCCACAAATATCGCCATTGCATCATCTGATGACATTCATTCATAATAGCTCTCAATTAACCACAATACATTTTCCAAAAAGGGGAAAAAATCAATCTTGGAAAGCTCAAGTCTTTCTATATTTAAAAATAACTTAACTTTAAACTTCCCATTTTATTCTTAATGAGATAATTTAAAGCTGCACATATATCTTTTAGACCACAAGAAAAGTGTTTTTTCTTAAATACTGAGTCAAACACTATAGTTTCTAAAAGTCTAGAGAAAACGAAACCCAGATAAATCTTAGAAAATTCCATTATAGTAAAGTAAAAATATTGGGATTTTCTGGAGGTATATTGGAATATTTTTTGTGTGAGAATAGAGGAAAGGAAAGATACCAATGCCAGGATCAGTGTCAATGATGATCTTCTTGGGTTCTGTTGCCATTTGACACGAATGAATCTGAAAATTGAAAGTTAAACGGATTGGGGATTGGACACAGATTATGAAGAGCAAATTGAAGATTGATATACCACCGCAATTCCCAGATCCGATGAATTTTAATTACTAGTAGAAGTTTTAATTACTACTAGTAGCTTTTAAAATAATAACAATAGTGTGTCATTGTGGTTTGTGGTATATGATTAGAGAAGTTTGAGTCAATATTGGCACACTTTAATTAAAAATAATCCGTTGGGAAGAGTTAGGAGATTTCGGTTTCGTCTAAGTCAGGAACTGAGTCACTCTTGCATAAGGGATAGTTCCCTTTTGTGTGGAAAGAAATTTTGCTCTTCTATTGCTATTTGGCATGTTTCCTTTTTCTTGGGTGAATTGTTGTTAAGATGAAATGGAATTGGCCATAATTTCTAAGATTTGGAATTTTTTATAACAATATTCTTATATAATAATAGTATTTTCCTATAAAAACTCAAATTTTTCTCGAAATTAATTTTTATGTTATATTTTATCACTCTATAACAGTTTTTAACTTATAATAGCAGCAATCATATGTAATATTACCTCTCTATAAAAATCATAAATAATCTTTAAGATTAGCGGTAGTAAATCTAGAGATTTTGACCAAATATTTCAAAAATGTATAAATAATAATTATGTTTGTGTTATGAAAATAATTATATTGTGGATGTTCATTTATTACTCCGCTATAGATAATCTT